GAGATAGTTCTTGGGAACCTTGGTCGTTCAACCTCCTTCACCCCAGAACACGGCCAGGGAAGGAGTCAGCATGCAGGGCTGTAGCTGAAGGAGAGCTGCAGAGAGGAGGCAGCTGGCTGCCCAGACTCCACAGGCTACAGGTAATAGGCAGAGGGAGGAGCTGGAGAGGGAGAGGCACCCGCCAGGCTTGGACTCAGAGCCAGCAGCCACACAACACAATGGAAGCAGGTATTTTGGGGTGACCCACCATGTCATGAGTGGTGATGGGGCCAGACAGGTTCCTGGAGCCCAGGATCTTGTTCTGGTCTAAGTAACTAGGTACAGGACACAGAGACAGGAGGCTGGCTAACATTAATGCACAGGGAGATCTTGTATGCAATCAATCCCATTGCTGGGCCTCAGTTTCCTCATATGTACAATGAAGGCCAGTTGTGGCCTCAGCCCCTACTAGTGCTGAATTCTAGGATTCCTGTCCTTCCAGGGAAGTAAAAAGGACTCCTCTTCTGAAAAGAAGGTCTGTTATGAAAAGAACTAAAAGAATGGGGGGAGGAATTGCCCTGGATCCCAGCTCCCAGGGCAGAAAACCAGCCTTGACCAATCAAGACCCCTTTCTCAGCAGACCAAGGAGTAGAGTGCCCAGACAACTGTGGGATTTCCTGGAAAGCTACACTCCTGCTATCATCATCTCCTCCTCCCAGAGACTTCACCTCTAAAACAAATGCCCTGAGGAGGAACTGGCCTCCCTGGGAATATGGACTCCCCATGGCCACCCCTACACACCCCCTGCACACACGCAAACACACAACACACTTTCTCACATGCAACCTTGCAGCCTGTGCAGCCTGCATTCAGTAGTACTCTCACACGCTGAGCTTTTGCCTGAAACATGTTTGTATTTACTTCACAGACATGGAGTGAACCCCTGCTATGTGCCAATCACTGTTGTAGACACTGAGGATGAGCAAGACAGAGACCCGCAGACACAGATAGATCATCCACAATGCACCCCCAAATAAACATGAAAATGTACAATTTGAGGTTGCTGCACATACAATGAATAAAGTAAAATCGGTGGCAACACAGAGAGGGACTGTTGTTGGAGGTATGCTTGTGTGATTGGAACTGGACAGTGAATATTGGAGCTGAGGCTCAGTGAGGAGAAGAAGGTTGTCTGTCAGTCTCTGCGGAGGAGCACTGCAGGTGGAGAGGCCAGTGAGCACAAAGGCCCTGAGGCTGCAACACGCTTGGATGTTTGAAGATAAGACAAGGTAGAGTGGCCAGAGCATAGCCTGTGGGGAGCATGGCAGGTGCTGGTCACAATGAGGTGTGTACTGCTGGGGACTTGGCTTGGACTCTGCATGAGATCAGGAGCCAGTAAAGGGCTCAGAGCAGGGACTTCCCCCAGGAGATCACTGTGTGAGCAGAGGGGTCCATGAAGGGCCAGGAGTGCCCTCCCTTCTGTGGTCACTGGTTAATTCCTTTCCATCCTTCATATCTAACTCAATGACCCCTTCTTCCAGGAATTTGTCCCCACCTCGCTACCCCGTCAGATCCCCTGATGAGTCTCCTAGCACCAGTCACCCTCCAGGATACCTCTGCAGGAGTTTCACGCCGATCTCTGTGGTTGTATAGTTAATGTCTGCCTTCCCCACTAGACTCTGAGCTGCTTGGGGACAGGCACACAGCTGCCTTGGCTTACCTCCAACACCCAGCACCTTTCACAAAGCCTGGCACACAGTGGGTGCTCAATAAATGTAAAGAGAAGAAATAAGTAAATCCCTGGGGTCTCAGCAAAAGTCCCACTCCCTTAAGGAGTGGTGTCCTGTTTCCACTTCCTCCCTCCTCTGTACCCCCTACACTTCACGTCTACCTCTTCTGTAGAACCCAATATGACCATCAATGTGTTGACACCTGCACACACGCATGCACACACGTGCATGCACACACACAGGCAAGGCATATGTGCTGTTCTTCACTGTACCCCCAGGGACCTCCTTGAAGCAGACAGTGCCACTGTACAAAGAACGACCTCACCCATGCCCACCTGCTCAGAGGCCCACGACTTGGGCTCACTAGAGAGTCTATGCCCTGAAGGTGTGTCAGGGGCCAAGCCCACTCCCTCACCCACTTGGGCAGCATCCCCCACAGACCTGCTGGCAGAAGGTGCTACATGCTCTCCTGTACCATGGCTCCAAAAGAGGTCACACAAACAAGGGCTCAGCTCTGCTTGCACAGTGGCTGCCTTCTGCAAACCAGAGATCTGCATACACAGACTGAGGAGTGTAACTGAGGACAAACTACTGGAATGTCTGACCTCTGGTCCAGCCCAGGAAGCTGAGGAACTTTGGTCCATATTTCTAGAGCCAACTACTTTTTCCTGTGAAAACTCAGTGCCCATGATTGCTGGTGTTGTTAGATCCCAGTTAATCAATCAACATGTTCTTGAAACAAATATGTTAGAAATAAAATTGTTAATAAAAAGTAATACTTTACATGTTCTAGGAAAGCTTAGTATTTAAGAAATTCCTTTGCAGCATAAAATGCATTTTTTTGGAAGGCAATTGGCAATTTCTATGAAAAGTCTTAAAATGGGCGTGTGCCACGGCCCCATGATTCTATTTCTGAGGCCTGATCCAATGTATTATAACCTACCCCAAAATGGAGCTACAAGAATATTTGTCAAACAGCATTGGTTGTAAGAGGGTAAGGCTGAAAACAATCCAAATGTCCAGCAAGGAGTAGTCAAATTAATTCTGGCACATCTGTACCATGGAATACTCTGCATCTAAAATCATGATAATCGCACTAGTCAGCACACGTCAAACACTCTGTGCTGGGGACCACATTAAAAGCATTACATGCACCATCTCATTTAATTCTGCCTATGCTGTATATATTATTATCACCTCCATCTCACAGATGAGGAAACCAATACCAAATAGAGTTAAGGTATTTGCCCAGAGTCACACAGCTAGTACCTAGGATGCATACTCTGGCAGTTTGACTTCAGACACCAACCTCTCAGCCATGATACTACCTGGCCTCAAATGAAACCCTTAAGGGAGCTATTGTTGTAGCAAGACTAGCCACATGGAGCGATGTTCACAATATGCTAATAGGTATAGCAAGCAGGTTATTAAAGAGTATATGCAGCCTGATCCCATGTGCACATGTGCACGCAAAGCAAAGAGAGGATGCTTTGGGAAGATTTCACCCAAGATTTTACTTGCGTGAAAATGCTTGTTTTCTTCTGCTTGTGTTTTCTGATTTTTCTGGGCAAACATGCTGCTTCTGTATTAAGAAAAAGTATTTTTAGATTTTAAAACTAACATAAATGCCAAAAAGCACTCCCTCATACTCATCTTATGCATAAATGCAAATGTGCAGCTATTGGCTTAGCTTTAGGTATAGGCACAACGGCATGCATAGGCACTGCTTGCTTTTCATGGCTCGGCTTCTTCTTGAAGCAGCAAGGGCTCTCCAGCTGGGAAGAGACGACGCAGATTCTTCCCATTGCACCCCTCAGCAGTCTGTCCCCCATCATCCAGAAACCCTCTGGGCATTTTTGCCTCCAGGGAGCTGCCAGGCTGATGGCATAGAGCTGGGTGAGCTCTACCCTGACAGCCAAGCCCAGGGACTCCAAGAGCTTGAGATGATCCACCTCCTGTCTCTGGGTCTCTCAAGGCAGCAAGAAGAGAAGGGCAGACGGGCCTCAAAGCAACAGAGCGGCCCAGGGACAGGAGTCCCAGTTCTGCAGCCACATATACTGAGGACCCTCCTGGCCTGGTCACTTGCTTCCTGGCTCTGTGACCTTGGACAAGTTATTTCTTCTCTCAGAGCATGTTTCCACACCTGTCAAATAAAGAAATTAAAAGTACCAACTTGGAAGAAAAGTACCAATTTGTAAGAATCAAAGTAATAGATAAATTAGATATAAAATGATGGTGGCAATAAGTAACATTTCCTGGGTACTGATAACATGTATGATTTCTATAGTTCTCACAGCCACCCTATCAGAAACACTGTGACGATCTGCATTTTACAGATGATGAAACAAAAGCTGAGAGCGGTAAAGTCACTCGTGCTGATAAGTAGTGAGGAGGGAATTTCTGCCACCATGGCTGGGTCACACCACTACACCTCGCATTCTGGCACAATGTCGAGAACATGGGAAGGCCTTCATCCAGATGGTTACCATTGTCATCGCTCTCTACTAGGGCTCTCTACCTGGCTTTGGAGAGTAGTGTGAGAGTGAGGACTCCTCCTGGTTCTCCCCAATACCCAGACACTCACACAGCCACCAGGCCACTGACCCACTTTAAGGAGCTTTCCTTTGGGGGTCACCAAAACTCTCTCCCCAATACCCGCCCAACCCCCGAGCACACACACATACCCTCTTTGAGTCAGTTCCAGTGACCACAGTCAATGAATTTGCTGCTGGACAGTCTATGACAAGCCCCTGTCCAAAATTGGCCTTGTGTTCTGGCCTGGCAGGGGCCCTGGGGGGTCAGGCCTGCAGGCACTCACGCTTGGCACCTGCTCCAAAACCCTTTTGGGTCTTTGAGGATCTGGGCCCTGGGCCTGGGTCTCCCGGCAGCTCAGAAAAGTTGGCCTGCCTGGCCAGAGAGGGAACTACGCGATTCAGAAAAGTACTGCCCTTCAGCAGTCTGGGCTCCCCAAAGGCAGAGCGGGACGCTAGAAACGTGTGCGCGCAGTGGTCTGGGTGTGCAAGTGTGCGAAGGATACGTGTTGTGTGAGCGAGAGGTTAGCGGATGTGCGTGTGCGTGTGCGCGCGTGGCTCCGGGTGTGCGCTGCTGCGATAGCGGGTTCTTTCCCGGGGCGGGCGACGGGCGGGCTGGGAAGGTCTCCTCCCCTCACCACATTGAGAAATCTCAGTGAGTCACCGAGTGGTTCTGCATATTAATGAGCTCACTCGCTGCGAGGGCAGGAGCGGATTTAAAAGAGGCCAGGGCGGGCGGAGGGAGGCTGTGGAGAGAGCTCAGAGACAAGCGCAGAGCGCAGCGCACCGCGACAGACAGCCGTGGGCATCCACCGACGGCGCAGCCGGAGCCAGCCGAGTCGGAAGGCGCGCCCCGGGCAGAGAAAGCCGAGCAGAGCCGGGTGGCGTCTCCCGGCCGCCGCTCCGACGGGCCAGCGCCCTCCCCATGTCCCTGCTCCCGCGCCGCGCCCCTCCGGTCAGCATGAGGCTCCTGGCGGCCGCGCTACTCCTGCTGCTGCTGGCGCTGTACACCGCGCGCGTGGACGGTGAGTGCGGGGTGCTCCCCTTGTCGCCGTCTCGTCTCTTCCTGTCCTGGGGAACACAAGCGCCAATTTCTAGGCATCCTAGGATCCCGCGGGGGGTGGTCTGGGTGGGCACCAAGGTGGTCGAGGGGTAGGAGACTCCCTCGCAACTAAGCAGTTGCCCCGCGCTCGCTCGCAGGGTCCAAATGCAAGTGCTCCCGGAAGGGACCCAAGATTCGCTACAGCGACGTGAAGAAGCTGGAAATGAAGCCAAAGTACCCGCACTGCGAGGAGAAGATGGTTATGTGAGTTCTCGCTCCTCACCTTGAGGGGGTGTGCACTGCTGTCAACCCGATGCCAGGGCACAGCCTGGGCCTGGGTCTGGCTAACAAACATTTCTCTCTGACTTTGTCAAAGCCCTGGAAAAGGCTTCGTAATTGCCCAGCAAGTCCTTAGGACGCTGGCGAGACACTCTAGAAGACAGTCGGGAAAGGGGGTCACTGTCCCGCTCCGGGAAAGGGGGTCACTGTCCCGCTCCGGAACAGAGCCTCCCAAGTTCAGCCTTGCTAGGATTCAAATGAGTAGTCTCCCTATTTGTACCATGGGCCACCCACTCTGCTAGGGCCATCAAGGGTTAAAGGGATCCCTTGTGCCAACTCAGAAAACCTAGATTGAAATCACTTAAAGCACACCCACACCCAAACTGTGAGGCGTGCTGCCTTCCTGTCACTGGACAGAGGATTAATACAAACACTATCTTAAATCCTGACTCTCCTTCAGAGCCTTGTTCCAGTCAGAGGCCAGTGGACCGCAAGTTTTTGGCTCCTAGAGATGTCATTTTGAGAACGCTCCACGCGCTTCCCTCACCGGCTGTACTCCCTGTGGGTCGAGATACCGAGTGCTCTCCTGGGGTTAATGTGCCACATGGCTGGAGCCCTGCTTGGTGGGGATGTGGGGAATGTTGGAAAAACTGGGGCAGAGTGAGAGAACACTTAGTTTCTTGCTCCTCCGCCTTCCCAATTAACCACTTGAGGCCAGCACCTCTGCTTCCTCATCAATACGCTCTTGGCCAGGAAGGGAGCCCTTGGCAAAGCAGCTACCAAATATTTGCCACAGACCATTGGCCCCTCTTCCCCTCCCCCAGAAACAGGACGCACTTTATTCTCAGTCTGGGCAAGTGCCTTCCACCGGCTGGCCCCCACTGGCCCCAAAGCCTTCCACAGTGTCTGTGAAAGCAGGGCACACCCCCACCCAGCACCCCACATCCCCCGCCTAGGGGCTACACAAGCAGGCTGAACTTAGGGGAATTCAGAAATCCACTGGACCTGAGCTGACCCCACTGCCTTCCTTCACAGGCACCTAAATTAACACCCTTGTCCCTACCCCTTGCCTTGCAGACCAAATTCAAAGAAAACACCCAAAAATCCTTTTGGGTGGGGGCCAAGTGTCAAATGAGCTGGGAAAGGAGCTCCAAGCTCCTCAATGGTTCCAGTTTGCAAGCTAAGAATGACAGGGGGAGTTCCAAGTTAAATCTCACTCGTCTAAGAGCTGAAAACCACTCTGTATACCAAGCAAGTTTCTGAGACCTTCCAGGGGAAGAAAGCAGAGTAAAGGATGCAGTGATACCTAAAAAGAACAGAGCCCTCAGTAAATACGCTTGCCCTTTTCCTGGCTAAACTTTTGCACATATAGAGGAAAACTATAGCTAGGCAAGTGCGGGAAAGGCTTTATGGAGCCTTGTGGAAACTTGCAGGGGCCTCAGGAGATCAGCACACAATCCAATCGCCCTCTACTAAACCTCCACCCCCCTGCCCCCAGCCTCTCACCTCATCCCTGAGGGCTGGGGGCTCCTCTCCCTCTCCACGGTCCTAAAACTCTCCAAATCAGATGAGGGGCCAGCACTTTTGCAAAGCAGGTTTTCAGCCACAAAGGCTGAACAAAAGCAAATTTTCCAGCTCACCCTGAGTCACCCAGAAATCGCTGCTGAGGCTGGGGGTGGGGGCAGGGCAGGGGCCGGGGGGAAAGGTCCACTTTGCAAGTGGGAGTCTTTGCACCCAGAAGAATCCAGGAGAGTCTGAATTCTAGAAAGAGCCATTTGTGTCATAGGTCCATGGAGCTCTCACCAAAACCCTTACACAGCCTTCCCACCCCACCCCCAGAACTGTGGAGGAGAGGGTCACAGGACTCAGAATTTCTGATAGTTGCTGGAGTCACAAATCCCCATGTCTGCACTCCACAACCGATTTTCATAATCCCAGTATTATGACGTGGCATTTGAGCACTGTAGTGAGAGGGCTGAGTGTCCCTTCCTGCTCTCCCTGACCTTCAGGATTTGGGATGCACAGCCTGCACGCTGACCTAACTGAGACAGGGTTTTTATCAGGCATTGCCACGTCCTTTCCTTCAGAATGCAAAAGCAGCCTTGTAGGCAGAAAGAGAAAAGCATTTGCTAAATTCCTGCAGGGTGACTGGGCACAGTGGGGGAGAGAGACAACTAGAGTTCACTCTGAAGCCTGGCCCTTGCTCAGGGCTAGAGGAATGACCCGGGTCACAGAGGAGTCCAGTCAAAGCAGGCACCATCACCTGGCATCAGCAGGAAGACCCGCCCCTGCCCCAAGGAGCTTAGGCCCTAGTGGGGACCCCAGAAACCCAGAGCATGGAGAAGGGAAGAAAACAGGTTGCCCAGGAACATTATGCCCCCATTCTGTGGCAAGATCCAATTTTCTTTCCCCATTAATTGGGAGACTGAAGTCATGGGAATCCTGTCCCTTCCAGAACTTAGCCCATATAAGCCCTGACATTTTCCATTTGGTAACAGTGGGGAACTAGCTGACCTCTGTCCCTCTCTTCCCACTCTTTCCACTCTCACTTCCAGTCTCCCTTCTTTGCCCTCCAAGCCCATTCCAGAATCCCAGTCTACCATCATAGCTTGCATGGCTGTGACTCCTCAAGAAGTGGCATCCTCACCTCTCGCCTTGCACTTTTCCAAATACCCTAGGTGGTCCCTTATTCCCCCCAACTCCTGTCATGCCTGTGGCCCAGCCCCGGCTTAGAGAGGCTCAGAAGTTCTGAGCAGCAGGCTTGCCTCGCCCTCCAGGCTGGAGCCCCCACAGCAAGGCTACTCTCTCCTCTTGGCCACTTCATCTTCCATGACCAATGACTACTAACAGTAACTATTAATTGTGCATCTACCAGGTTCTGGGCACTTTGTAAAGACTGTATCTTTTAATCATCCCAATAACCCTGTGAGATAGTCCTATTATTGTGCCCATTTTACAGATGGCCAAACTGGATTCAGAGAGGTTACCCAAGGTCCCACAACCAAACTTGAGATTCAGCCCCAGGCCCCTACCGTCTGCACAACACCTGCTTCTCTACCACATGGCTGGGCTTCCGCTGGGTGTTGGGACATTGGCTGATAGAGGCCTGAGATCTTCAGGCTGTGCAGAAGAGAGGTCTTACTCTTCTGCTTAGGGGTGAGATACCTGGCACCTCACACAAGGCCAACAAGACTTTGCCTCAGGATCAGGAGATGCCCAGCGCTGGGACAATCTATGGTGGGTCAGAGGGAACTGGGGTTGAGGAGACAGAAACCAGAGTGTCTGCGGGGCATGTCTGAGCCTTACCATGAGCTCCTCAAATCCAAGGACAGAGGTGTTGGCATGTGCACCTTGCTGGCATTAGCTTTCTCCACCTCCTGATCCCAGGCTCAGAGGGGCTGGAAGAGTCCTCTGACCTTTGTTCCCCAAAAGAGGCCTGGGCCCTGGAGACAACACACTGCATGAGGTTGGGGGTGGGAGAGACCATCCGAGACTCTCAGGACTCCCAGGGGAAAAGTGAGGGAGGGTTAGGCCCTAATATGGAGTCAGAGAATAAGGGGACAACCAGAACCTTCCAAAGAGCCAGCCTGGGAGTGAGCACATAAGTAGGCTCCCTTGAGAGGAGGCAGGAAGCCGCAGTCTCTCAGGACCCCGACTTAGCCCAGGGCCACTCACAGGCCACAGGAGAGGCAACATGCTATTCAGCCTCCTCAACCCTCCACCTCATCCTGCTCCATTTCAGCATCACCACCAAGAGCGTGTCCAGGTACCGAGGTCAGGAGCACTGCCTGCACCCCAAGCTGCAGAGCACCAAACGCTTCATCAAGTGGTACAACGCCTGGAACGAGAAGCGCAGGTACGCGCTGCCTCTGCTCACCTTCCTTCCCGCCACACCCAGCTGTGGCTCTCAGGATGGGAAGGGACCCCCCGCCACCAGGTCATCTAGCCCCATCTAATATGTGAACACACACCACAACATCCACGGCAAACAGATACTCAGGCATTGCCTACATACCCCCAGGGACGAGGAACTCACCACTTAACAAAGCTAGCTATGCATCTCTTGTCCATTTGCAAGCATGGCAGGGTTTCTCATTTTGTAAACTAAAGTCTGCCTCACTCTAATATTTACATTATAATCTTAATTTCTCTTTTTATTTAAGTTACATAAGTTGTTAAATGGCAAGGTGAGCACTGGCATAGCTGCCAGGGGAGCTCTGAGTGTTCAGTGGGGTGAAATGTGACCAATTAGGTGACAGTGTATGTTGGCTACAAAACTGTGCTATAAAACCATGAGGTGCTGAGGATGATCTTTGCCAGAAACATGTTTTCTTCTCCAAGGTGCCTCACTCTCTCTGCTGCCCAGAAACCTGATAAACTCCTTCCTTTGCAGGTGCTGGAAGGCACCACGGGTTTGGCTCTTTAAAATCAGAGCCACTGTTAACCAAGGCAGGCAGCAATGTTAAAAGCACCAGCACCCTGAACCAGCCCTGTACTTACTGGGCACTGTTTCCTCATAATCAGAAGGTGACTTCCCAGCTCTGGTCTCTTGGGGTCTTATGTCTGTCCTTGGAGGAGGAATCCAGTTCCTAGCTCCCCTGTACCACGTGAAGGTAGCCTGTCCTGCCTCACTCCTCAAATACGCAGAGTTTATTTCTACCTTTGCCTGCATAGTATGATCAGGAAGCGCACACACACACACACGCACGCATGCACGCATGCACCATGCAGGTGACTTTCCCAGGAGCTAGTGTCAGCACCCTCTGCTGCAGAGGGGGAAATCAAGGCTAAATGGGAGAGAGGGGTGACTTGCCCGGGAGCACAGGGCAAAGCCAGGATAGCAAACCAGGCCTCCTGGTGCTATTCCACGAGCTGCCCTCACAGGGTGGAAGGCGTAGCCACAGTGGGTGCCTGCATTGCCCTCCCATCACCCGGCCCAGCCATGCCACACCAAGCTCAGCCCTGTGACCAGCTCTCCAAGAGCTGACACTCAGGCTCAACCCCTGTATCTGAGCCTTTTTTGCTGCCTCCAAAACCGCCTCATCTGCAGTTGCTTGAAATAGAAAGTGATGAGAGCGAGAAATTATTTTCTATAAATCTGATGGAAATGAAGCCCTCTTTCTGGTCAAGCCAGGCAGCTCATGTGGCAAAGGCCAGAACTGCCCAGTCCACTCTCTGTCACCCTCCAGGCCCTGTGTCATCAAAACTGGCAGAAGGCTAATCCCATGGGCAGGTTATGGAAGAGGCTAAGGACATCTTGATCTGACTGCTGGGGGATACTCAAACCTTTAACTCACCTTGCTCCTCCCCTCTACCTGAGCTGCAACCTGGAAAAGCAGGCACCCACAGGTCTAAACATGGCCCTGCTTTTTTTTTTTTTTCCTGAAAATTCCAATAATAGCAACAAGAGCCTCTCAGCTACCAGGCCTACTCTCACTTTGCTATAAAATTAGTTCACCCCTCTTTCTTGGAGTGTTAAGGTCCCTGCCCTCCCCACCTCCCTCCCCTGAAAAAAGTTGAAAATATCTTAATGAATGTAGAACAGTAATAAAGGAAGTGTTTGAAGTCCTCTTTGTACAGAGAAAGAGAGAGAGAATGCCAAAGCTAGGTTAGAGAAAGGAGAAGGTTATACGGTGGGCTCAGGCCCATGGGTGCCACACAGAGGAGCTCTGTGCACTTCAGAGACCAGAGCTTCCAGGGAGCTTCCGGCCACCACAGGAAGCGCCGAGTCAGGCATTTTATTTCAGTGCGTAATTCGGTGGTCTTACTCAGAAATCAAGAACAAGACAGAGAAGTGATAGGCTGAGTGTAAAGTACGGCCCCAGGGCAGCCATGGGGCAGAACTAGAAGAAAGCAAAATATCTAACTGGGGACAGCTTGAGAGGTGAGGGGAAGGAGGGGTTGGAAACCAGTAGAGATGAGGCAATGCAGCCAGGAGCAGGGACTGAGGGGCACAGGCCTCCTGCACCACTTCCCCACCCCACCAACCACCTCTTCTATCTCTAGGAAGCAGCTTCTAGAGCTAACATTCTTCTGGAATACATGCATTCTTTGGGCAAAATACAAAGAAATATATAAGCCTAAGTCAAGGTAGAGAATGCCTCCCACCCTTGCTATTTTCTCTAAATAGAGAGGCCGAGTACAGACGCGGAAAGAAACAAGGAGGTGCGGGAGCAGCCCACCATGCTAGAGAGAGACTGCATTCCTGCCACTAACAGTCAGTGGCCACTGGGCAAATCTTAAGTCTGTGGTGCCTCAGTTTCCTCATATGCAAAGCTGGTTTGCTCCATAGGCCTCTGAGGACAAAATGAGATTGCAGAGGTGAGATTGCAGACGGTTAGAAAGGACAAAGCCACACTGATGTGAGTTTTCATGGTCCCTGGGACCACATCCTCAGAAGGGTCCCTCCCACTTCTCCCTGGGGGTTCCTGTAGTCCTAAGACAGGGGCAGTCCCTGCAGACCAGATGCAAATGAAGCCACTTAGCCAGCAGCTTGTGAACTGCCTGCCTCATGTCCTGAGCCACTTACACATGTGTTTTTTCTCCCTAGGGTCTACGAAGAATAGGGTGAAAAATCTCTGATGGGAAAACTCCAGACCAGTTGGGAGACTTGTGCAAAGGACTTTGCAGATTTAAAAAAAAAAAAAAAAAAAAAAAAAAGCCTTTCTTTCTCCCAGGCATAAGACACAAGTTATATATTGTTATGAAGCACTTTTTACCAACGGTCAGTTTTTACATTTTATAGCTGCGTGCGAAAGGCTTCCAGATGTGAGACCCATCTCTCTTGTGCTCCAGACTTCATCACAGGCTGCTTTTTATCGAAAAGGGGAAAACTCATGCCTTTCCTTTTTAAGAAATGCTTTTTTGTATTTGTCCATATGTCACTATACATCTGAGCTTTATAAGCGCCCGGGAGGAACAATGAGCTTGGTGGACACATTTCATTGCAGTGTTGCTCCATTCCTAGCTTGGGAAGCTTCCGCTCAGAGGTCCTGGTGCCTCGGCACAGCTGCCACGGGCTCTCCTGGGCTTATGGCCGGTCACAGCCTCAGTGTGACTCTGCAGTGGCCCCTGTAGCCGGGCAAGCAGGAGCAGGTCTCTCTGCATCTGTTCTTTGAGGAACTCAAGTTTGGTTGCCAGAAAAATGTGCTTCATTCCCCCCTGGTTAATTTTTACACACCCTAGGAAACATTTCCAAGATCCTGTGATGGCGAGACAAATGATCCTTAAAGAAGATGTGGGGTCTTTCCCAACCTGAGACTTTCTGAAAGGTTCACAGGTTCAATATTTAATGCTTCAGAAGCATGTGAGGTTCCCAACACTGTCAGCAAAAACCTTAGGAGAAAACTTAAAAATATATGAATACATGCACAATACACAGCTACAGACTCACATTCTGTTGACAAGGGAAAACCTTCAAAGCATGTTTCTCTCCCTCACCACAACGGAACATGCAGTACTAAAGCAATATATTTGTGATTCCCCATGTAATTCTTCAATGTTAAACAGTGCAGTCCTCTTTAAAAAGCTAAGATGACCATGCGCCCTTTCCTCTGTACATATACCCTTAAGAACGCCCCCTCCACACACTGCCCCCCAGTATATGCCGCATTGTACTGCTGTGTTATATGCTACGTACATGTCAGAAACCATTAGCATTGCATGCAGGTTTCATATTCTTTCTAAGATGGAAAGTAATAAAATATATTTGAAATGTACCAAAATTCTAGACTGCTGCCTTTTTTCTATTTAAGCTAGGATGACAATAAAATGTTTACCATGTCCTGAAAAAATAAGGACAAATATGCTGGGAAAGAAAACTGGTATTTCCCAAATACCTGTCAACACCATCACCTCTGTGGAATGTGTGGAGCTGTCATTACAGTTGGGAAGCCAAGAAGCCAGGCCTTGAGGCTAAGGCTCCTTCCCCGACGATTCCTACCCCTGCAGCAGGTTTATCAGAGTGGGTAGGTTGGAGCACAGGGAACTAGAGGGTCATGATTCCAGCCTCCTCCACCCAAGACCACACTGAGCCTCAGCACCAGAGGGCAGCAAAGAGCCTGGATGCCTCAGCCAAGGGCTCTGCCAGTTCCCTGGGGCTGCCTGAGGACGGTGACAATGGAGGACTGGTGTAATTATTGCCTCCTGTGAGCCAGACCCTGTGTGGAGAGCCTTACATGCCCTATCTCTTTGAATTCTGGTAATGACCACAACGGGGGTGGTCCTACTGAAGCTCCATTTTACAGATGAGAAAACCAAGGCTCAGTGAGGTGATCACACCATTTAGAGAAGATAGTAGATGGGGCCAGTCAAGATGCCCTGGGGTCCAGGGCCCCAAGACGCCAGGGGGACTCGAGGAGGTGGGAAATGCCCACCTGGGAGGCTGTGGGACTCCGGAGCTGGGCATCTGGGAGCCACACCTGGGAGATACTGGAGCTGTTCCTGCTCCTGCCAGGTGGACAGGTGGACCGTAGGGCACACCTCATGGTGCTTCTAGGGACTGCATGAGGTAAGCCCCTGTAAAGCACTTAGCAGGACACCAGGGTGTGGTGAGCATGTGGTAATGGAAGCCCTTTTTTTTTTTTTTTTTTTTTTTTTCCTGAGACAGGGTCTTGCTCTGTCACCCAGGCTGGAGTGCAGTGGCACAATCATGATTCACTGCAGCCTCGAACTCCTGACCTCAAGGGATCCTCCTGCCTCAGCCTCCCAAGTAGCTGGGACTACAGGCACATACCACCATGCCTGGCAAGACGGGCTCTCCCTATGTTGCCCAGGCCAGTCTGAAACTCCTGGACTCAAGAATCCTCCTTCCACCTCAGTCTCCCGAAGTGCTGGGATTACAGGCATGAGCCACCATGCCCAGCCAGAAGCTGTTTGAATAAGCACAACACCAGGCCAGCTACTTTGCACTTTGTACCAGCTACCCACAGCGCTGCATCTCACTGTATCCTAAAGTCAGCCAGGCCCCGAAACAGGCCTCTCTGCCCTCACTGAGTTCTCCACACCCAGAAGGACTGCTCATGGGGACTGGCCTCCACCCTGTCCGCTACACTAGCCACTGGGAGCCAGTCCCCCATGTCCCCTTCACCTTCCCGGACATCTCCCTGACACGCTGGTTCTGCACACACTTACAAGGACACCCAGCAAGTACCCTGTCCCAGCATGTCCCTGGCAAGATGCTACCGCAAACGCTTTTATCACCATCTTATTTCCTCCTGGCGGCTCCAAATTACACCACATGTATTCCTGAGGGAGCTGAAGATCAGAGAGGTTGAGAAAGTTGCCCAAAGCCACAAAGCTACCACTCATCACACCCTCCAATGGCTGGGTCTGGCAGCCTTTCTGCTGAGGGGTGGAGGAGGGGCAGGCTGAGGCCACAGTGAGCTGGAGACCATGAATGCCCTGGGGCAGCTCTGCCTTTCCCTTCGTTACAGAGAAAGAAGGTAGACTGGACAGGGAAACCCCGAGACCAACGGACAGAACAGAGTGCGAGAGCCCCAGAAGACAGTGCATACCAGGGCAGGGCAGAGCGGAGGCCAGGCCTCTTTCTGGGAGTCCCGAACCCTACCCGGCCTCAGAGCAGCACCAGTGGAGCCTCAGGAGGGAAGGGGAGTGTACAAAGCTGGCTGAAGAGCCCCGGCTGCCAAGAGCAAAAGCCGCTCCAAGACAGCACGGGCCATGGGGTGCCGCTTGTAAACAAGCCATACACACTCCCTGTCCTTGCTGGGGCTCTCCTTGTCCTGCCTGTGGCTCTAGTGCTAGGCCACCCTCCTCTAACTCTGCGGGCCCGGATGGTCCCTCCCTTCTCTGATGTCCCAAGCCACGGATTGGATCACTAAAAACAGTAACAGTGTCACCTCACACCGGTCCAGCCACTGATCCAGGCAGTCACTCAAGCACTGGCCCCACATGCTCTATCTGCACTCCCACAATGCGCTATGTGGCCGGTGCCCAGACAAGTGAAGCACTTCGCTTAGGAGAGCAGAGGAAGCCCCGGAAGTCAAGCCTCAGCTGGTCAAAGCGCAGAAAGGGTGGAGAGTCTGCGTGTAAATGTCTCCATTCCCTACAGAGATGGGGTCCCGGGAGAACAGAGGCTGGGCTATGCTTCCAGGGAGAGCTTGGGCCCTTTCCTCCAGCAGACAGGGATTAGCCTGACCACTAAGAATAGATTCTGAGCCCAAACACCTCACCAAACACCAAATGAGGACCCACAGGCGCCTGGAACTGTGCGAGGCTCCAGAGAAGAATCTTCTTTCCCGGGGTTACAGACCTGTTTCCTGTACCTCTTCTCCTCTGGGCCTCCCAGTGTCCCTATGAGGTATCCACCTGCCAGCTTCCAGGAGAGAGAGTAATCCTAGTGCAGCAAAGCGAGGCCAGGTGGCCTTTCAGGGTGGGCTCTGCACTGGTGGCTCTCATGGGCTTCCCTTGGTAAGAGGGAGCTTCTCCTCTGCACACAGGGCAGACCTGGCCCACATACAGGCCCCACCTCCTTTGGAGCCACTGCTTCCTCACAGTTAGGCTTGTTTTGGATCCAAATGCCATTGCCCCTGACTTCCCACAGGCTCGTCCTGAGCAGGCCCTGGTGCTGCAGTGGGCTGACACCAGCATGGCCATGTTCTCAGAGAGCTCCAGCCCAGTCCTGCAACTCAACTCCTCCATCTCACCTGACCGCTCTCAGATCTCCACTCAGAGCTTCTCCTGGTCACCCTGGACTGACTACATAATTTGCAAGGCTAGGTGAAAGAAAAAAAAAAGATGCAAGCCCCCTATTCAAAAATTAAGAATTTCTAGATGGCAACAGGACGGCATTAAACCAAGCATGGGGCCCTTACCAGAGGTGCTCTGTGCAACTCACATGTCTCAAGCCCATGGGGCCCAACCCTGCCTCCAGGATCAACTCTAATACCCATATGGGTGACTCATTTTGGTCCTGAATTATTACATAATTTGCACTACAATTTAACAGTTTTATTTTAACCTGAACATCTAAGAAGAAGCCCTTCTTAGAAACCAGGAGCTGTGTCACATGCTGCTTTGTAAAAACCTCCCAGAATCTATGATAGCACTTACAAGGTACTCAAACACAGTTGAATTAATACTAGGATCATAGGGAGATACCCAAGAACACGCTTTCTTCACGCATTCCTGAGCTACTGCTATGTGCAGAACTCTGTGCTGGGCACCATGGGGAACAGGTATGACTGGCTGTGCTCCTTTACCCTCAAGGACAGAGTTCAACCTTTCATTCACCCAGCTACTGTTGCATGATTAAACATCTGCTCTGCGCTGGATGCTGGAGATGGCCCCTCCAGAAACTCAGTCTACAGGAAGGCAAAGAAGCTGCCTGAAATTGCTGTTGGTCTGACTGCCAGACGGACTCACGGCAGGCTCTGGGGCAGCCCCAAAGGGGCGGGTGCCTCACCCAGGCTCAGAGGAGGAGACCGCTGATCAAGACCTCTGTCAGTCCTGGGAAGGCTCATGGCAGATTGCAAGTCATTATCAGGCAAGAAAAAAAAAAAGTGCTGATTCCATCCTGGCTCACACATGGCCCGTCGCCGCCATGCTCATATGCAATGAGATGGACCAACTGCAGCAGAGCACCACGGGCAGAGAAGTAGAGAACACTGGGGGATTTAGAGGAGGCCCGGGAGCATCAGCCATGCCTCAGATGCATGTCCACAGAGCTCAGCCCCAGCTTCAGTCCCCACTCCCCTCTCGCCCAGCTCCCTTCTCTCCTGCCTGTCCTGCAAGGACACCGTGACGGGGGCCTCCGGAACCTCAAAGGCAAAGAAGCCCACAGGACCTTTCCTGCTCAACCTCCCACACAAGGAAGACACCATGCTGCTTTTAGAGCCCCTGGGGTGTTTTCTTCTCCTTCTGTTTTTGAAAAGTTACATGGATATTCTTGGAGGTCTTCAAGAAAGCACTAAAACCCTAAGCTATTTTCTTGCTTTCAAAGTAACATTTCCCAGCTTCCTCCATGCAAGTCCGCGCTGAGCCTCACCACCAGAGGGCAGCCGAGAGTCCGGGTGTCTCAGCCAAGGGCTCTCCAAGTTCCCTGAGGCTGCATGAGGAGGGCGACAAGGACAAGTGTAATTATTACCTACTGTGAACCAGACCCTGTGTGGAGGGCCTTACATACCCTATCTCATTGAATCCTGGTAGCGACCACAACGGGGGTGTTCTATTGAAGCTCCGTTTCACAGATGAGGAAACCAAGGCTCAGTGAGGTGAACACATCACTCATATTCACACAGCTAGCAGGTGAAAGAGACAGGATTCAAATCCACGTGTGTCTGGCTCGGAGGAGACTGTCTGCTCTCCGAAGTATGCAGTGTCTTACAGTTCCTGTCCACCCCAGTCCACAGGATGCTCCACTGTGCTCTCGTGCTCCGGCTCGGGGCTGATCCCGTTTATCAAATGGAGATTAATCATCCAGTTAACCTGGGCCACACGAACAACCAGCCTCAGCCAGGTTTGTTTTGCTGGTGTCTAGTTCTGTCTCCTACAGGCAGACGCATGCAGAAATCACATGCTATTCTAGGGCATCTCCCCCTGATCCAGAAAGGGGGCTCCGGAGCTGTGAAACGGCTGCTCCAGCTCCCATTTGGTAGACACAAATTCCACTTGAGTAGAGGAGCAGCAGAGTTAGTTTCCCCCAACACCAAATACACTAAAGAAGCAAAATGACCATGATGTTGTCAAGTTCAACTCAACATTTTGGT